TACTCACAGTCAGCTAAAATGCCACTATAATACAGGTGTGTCAGCAGCTGTTTTCTTGCTTTTTTAACTGTGTAGCACTACCTTTTTAAGACTGACAAATGCTCCTGATTTTTTAACATTTGTTCATCTTTTCAGTAAAAGATCATTGTTTCTGCAGGACTGTAGATGCTGAGTAAATAAAATAAATAAATAAAATAAATGTACTCACTTTTCAAAGGCATTGTTGCCTTCTGCTTCAGTATCAGAGGCATTCAGAGGCAGAAAGGAATTTTACTTCAAGCATGACCATAGGCATAATAGGCCTTTTATTTTTGGCAGCTAGAAAAAGGAGATACTCTTACTGTATCTGTGAGTTCTCATGAAGACTTCATTTAATAACACATCAGTCTCCAATTTATGATCAATTTCTATTTTTCCGCACACCTTTGGTTAAAGCAGCTTCCATTGTGACAAGAGCTAAGGAAAGTTCCTTTAATGTGTCGGGACAGCAAATGTGAAGAGCAAACAGCAGGCCTGTTAGGAATAGCTTGTTCTTCACTAGTCACTAAATGTGTCTCTGGTTTAACTAAAGTTAGCAGAGTTATGCTACAGCTCATTCTGATTTTGACACTTAACTTATTTTTGAGATTCAGCTTGTGTTAAATTTCCTTACTGACATCTTGCTGTAAGAAGGTTGTTACGGCTTATTTCAGTTGTTCTTTATCTGCTGATTCAACTTACTCATGTTTTTCTATAAAATAATAGTAAATTATCTCCCTTCAGGTTTTTACTGGAATTTTTGCAGCAGAAATGGTTCTCAAGATAATTGCCATGCATCCTTTTTATTATTTCCAAGTTGGCTGGAATATTTTCGATAGTTTTATAGTTACCCTTAGTTTGGTGGAGCTTTTTCTGTCAAGTGTGGATGGATTATCTGTTCTCCGATCATTCAGATTGGTAAATAAATAATGATACATCTCCATTAATTAATGCATTATGTTTGTATTTTAACTATACTCATGTAAATAAGACACTTTTTAGTGATATACAAAATATAATCAAAATATACATAATATCTCTTAAAGCATTTTTAAAAAAATTACTTATGAATCATGTGTACTGTATTATGGTTCAGAATCCTTAATTTTCCTTCAGCAGAGTCATATTGAGCTTTGGTTTTTTAAAAAATTTGTTTCTGCACATGATGTTTGAGATGTATGCCGTGTTCAGAATGAACTATCTGAACAATTCAGTGTGCTGTTTCTTTCATGTAGAATAGTATACAGATATGCTACACAAAAAAGATCAAAGTCTACAATTTACCAAGCTTTAAAAGTGTAGATTTTATGAAACTCCTCTTCCTGTCTAACAGGGTTGTTGGAATCATGTTGAAGATTTTTCTGTTGCTGCTGAGAGTCATTAGTTCATAATCTGTCATTTCTGTAGCATTTTTTGCAACTACTCCACATAACTTCTGTGTATTATTTTTTTCAGTTGCGAGTTTTCAAATTGGCAAAATCTTGGCCAACACTAAATATGCTGATTAAGATTATTGGCAACTCAGTGGGAGCTCTGGGAAACCTGACTTTGGTTCTGGCCATCATTGTGTTCATTTTCGCTGTGGTTGGGATGCAGCTGTTTGGGAAAAGCTACAAGGAATGTGTCTGCAAGATCTCTAGCGAGTGTGAACTCCCACGTTGGCACATGCATGACTTTTTCCACTCTTTCTTGATTGTGTTCCGAGTGCTGTGTGGAGAATGGATAGAAACTATGTGGGACTGCATGGAAGTGGCAGGCCAAGCCATGTGCCTTACTGTCTTCATGATGGTCATGGTGATTGGAAACCTGGTGGTATGTAACCAAAATAATTTGAGAATTCATTTAGACAAAGAACGGTAACTGATCCAGTGATGAAGCTTTAGAGCACTGTTAAATGTGTTAATTAAATACGGGGTTTACGATTTTGAATTTGTTACGAGTTCTGAAATTAGATTTCTGATCCTGTATAGAATCCTCAGCTTGGAGGATAGCCCCACTAAGGGATCTGTAGTGCAATTCAGAGGATAAGGATGAGAGAGAGAAGCATCACAGCTTCAGAATTTTGTGTATTATCCTGGTTATCTAGAGGAAAGCAAAGGCACCGATAGTGTTGTGCTCCCATGATGAGAGTTTACTGTTTGCAGAAGAGGATGTATCAGGGCCTTTTCTCCCTAAGTGGTAGAGGCATCACTTCCAATCACACACAGCCAGGTTGTTGTTGCTTTTTTTTTTTCTTGTTTTGATCTCCCCTATCTAAAAGACTGTTTTAACATTTTTAGACTCTGAAATTTAGGCCATTGTGAGCCCTGCGTGCTGCACAATGAACTTTTTACACAAACCGAGTAGGAAAATTTGAATTGGAAGGCACTTCTGCAGAAAAAACAGATTCAAGTGCTTCACATGTTCTTTCACCTCTTCACTTTTTTCTTCCTATTTAATTGCTTTTTACCGATACTTTTCGAGCAGTGTGTGTTATATCTTCTTTTTCAGAGGAGTGCATCAGATCTGTATGAGTTTGTACATGACCATATGTAAATTTGTCTTTTTTAATATCTTATTAACTTACCAGTGTTTACAGCCTTCATCCCTCTGCCTTTTGCTCTGCTTTCCTCAACTTGAGTTGGCTAATTACCTTTAAACCAGTCATGTATCTAGTAACTAGTAGCGCAGCCACTTGCTCCAGGATTTTCTACAAAAATTATGTCTTATAATGAAGAGAACTGTGAAACTAGTTGACCAAACAAAATATTCTTCATAAGTAATTTTTTGAACTAGAAGATAGAACTTTGTTGGAGGAAGTATCCATCTCTGTGATATTTTTTTTCCCCACAGTATTTAGTGTATTCTGATTTTATATCTATGTTCTAGCAGAATTTCTTACATGAGTAGACAGTCTGTGCTGTACGTTCAGGGCCCTGTTATCCAGTTGTCTTTCTGTGTCCCCAGCACTTAGATTTACCCTGTTGTCTTCAAAGCTGCTAATCTGAAGGGTTTAAGACCTTGTGTGCTGCTTCTTCAGCTATCCTAGTGCCATTTGAGCTCCGGGTAAAGTCTGGACTTGTATAACGGATATCTTCTGTGTTTTCTCTTGCCATAGGAAGAGGTTGAGTTGGGGGTTAGGAAACAGGAAGTGCTTCACATTTTTTTAAGTTGCATTCAGCAAAATGTTTGTATGAGTTTGGACTAGAGTTTAAGCTGTTTTCTGCAGAACTCTGCTATGTATTCCATTGCAGAGTGCTTCCCTATGCCAGAGAAGTAAACATTTTGGATCCATTCAGTCAGTACCAAAGAATCATTTGTTTCTGACCTTCTACAAACATAAGCAGAAAAAAATTTGCACGTGTCTTCATAGTCATGCAGAAATGCAGAACCACAAAAAACTCGTGTTGGCGTATAGGGCAGGTGTTGTCCTTAAATTGTATTTACATTTTGTTTACTGTGTAATTTCCAGAATCATATACAGCAAAGGAAAACGTGAAGTCTTAAGTTCATAATGTGTGATAGGAGAAGCAAGTGAATGAAAAATGGAGAAAATTCAAATGTATTGTATTTTTTTTCTTTTAGGTATTGAACCTTTTTCTGGCCTTGCTGCTGAGTTCTTTTAGTTCAGACAGCCTTTCTCCTACAGAGGATGATAATGAAATGAACAACTTACAGATTGCAGTTGCAAGAATTCAAAAGGGAATAGATTATGTGAAGAAAAAAGCAGGTGAATGTGTTCGAAAATGTTTTTGCGGGAAACAGGCTGTTATAAATGAAAGAAAAGCAACAGATCAGTTGAATGATGAGAGAGACCATTGCATTTCTAACTGTACCATCACTGATATAAGGATAGACACGAATTATCACAAAAGTGAGAATGGAATGGCCACTGTCATAGGTGGCAGTGATTATACATCATTCATGAACAACCCAGACCTTACTGTTACAGTACCAATAGCTGCTGGAGAATCTGATTTTGAACATCTAAATACAGAAGAGTTTAGCAGTGACTCAGATTTGGAGGAAAGCAAGGAGGTAAGATATATTGTCTTTGAATTAATTATACAAATTGTGTTGTTTCATAGTATGGCTCTTCCTGCTTAAAAATAGAATAGAGTGTGATTTGAGATTCTTGGACTGTCCTGAGAGTGAATAAAGTGGAGTGAAACAGTGGAGCTAAAGAGGGAATCCAGGCAGAGCTGTATGAACACATACAAACAAACCCTTTTTTAAAAGGGTTTTGGAAAACAAAAGTTTTCCAAATTTTTAGTTGTATAGAAAAAATAGTACATATGTACAGAATAAACAGAGATAAAAGGCATGTTTTTTAGAATATAATCATAATATTTCCATAAAGTAAGAATGAAAGTAAGCTGCTATTTAAAAATATTAGAGGAGATACTAATGAAGTGCATTAATACCTTTGTGTCTTGTTTTCAAGCTCACTGAATTCTACAGAAATCAACATTTTTGAATAATTTAACAGAGGTGCTAACTCAGGCTAAATAACATGTTTTGAGTTCTGAAGTTAAAATTATGGGGAAAAGCCAGAGTAACAGTGTCAGTATTATAAGGTGAATATGTAAAGTAAAAATTATGAGGAAAAGTTGAATTACTGAATGAAAAAATACTAAACTGTTGCCTGTTTTGGGGAGCTTTGAACCAGTGACTTCAAAGACAACTGCCTGACCTTATCCTGGGTTAGCTTTAGGGAAGCAGACATTTATTTGTCAGTAGTTGCAGACTGAGAGGAGAAGCAAAATCATGGATTTCAG